GGAGGGCGCGGCCGGCCGGCCGGCCTGGTGAGCGCCGGGGCACCGCCCCGGGGATGCCGGGTAGGTAGATCCCTCAGGCCAGGTGCAGCTGCCCCTGAGGTCTTGGGAATGGCTTGGTGGCACCGTCTGAGGAGGCCCGCGATGTGCGATGGGCAAGGATGTGTCCGAGAGCACTGGGAGTAACAGAAAAGCGAGGCAGCCCTTGCCCTGCCATCCCAGACCACACCTGCCTGGGATGCGTGCATGGGCACCGCCGTGCCTTCCTTGTCCCTAGGGAAGGAAGGGTCAGGAGGGATGTTGCAGACCAGCCTTGATCTCTGTCCCGCAGCCCGAGGACGAGGAAGATGAGCGGGCCTTGGAGGAACTGGAGCAGCGCGAAGTGCTGGTGCTGGGGTTAGATGGCTCTGGGAAAAGCACGTTCCTGCGCATGCTGTCTGGGAAGCCACCGCTGGAAGGCCACGTCCCCACCTGGGGCTTCAACTCTGTGCGGCTGCCCACCAAGAATTTCGAGGTGGACCTGTTAGAGAGTGAGCAAGGGGCCCTTTCTCCCCACCATCACTGCGGGCCGGGCCTAGATTCTTTGGAGGAGTCTGTAAAATGTGTGTGTAAGCAGGGCATTTCCGCGTTGTGAAATCCTTCTTGCTCCTTTCCAGAGCACAAGATACAGGACATTCTGACACTTAGGGTTCTTCCTCATCCGGTGTCTCCAAATGGTCTTTCTATCTTTCACCACACACGCCTCATACTGACAGACTCACAGCTGAGGGTTCATATGACAAACAACTCCATAAAACTACAGTCATTTAATCTGCTTATGAGATACTTGTGGAAATGGGTAAATCAGGAAAGGGTCCCAGCTTTCCAGGGTTCTAATGCAGAAGGTCCACCTCTGGGCCCTCATGAAGGGTACTTGTTTCTCCTTTTCTTGGCATGCACTGTTCCCTTTGCCTGGAAAGCTTGATAAACTACTACTATTCATTCTTTAAACTGTGGCTTCTTTTCTTCTGTTATTTAGGGGTTTTTTTTTGTTGTTGTTGGGATGATCAGTAACTACTGTTAACTCATTCTTTAAACTGTAGTTTCTTCCATTAGTTAGGGGTTTTGTTGTTGTTTGTTGTGAGATGGTCTCATGATATTGAGGCTGGCCTTGAACACCTGAACCCTCCCTCTCCACCTCCTGAGTGTTGGGGTTACAGGTACATACATGTCAACATGACCAGTTCTCAATTGTAGTTGTGGATGACATTCTTTGAAGCTGTCCCTGCTCCTTCCTGACTCTGTCCCCTTCTGCTGCAGTGTTTGTCACATCACCCTCTGCCCCTGATGAGGCTTTGAGTACCTAGGTCACAGACTAATGGGATCCATTTTGGCCCAAAGGCTCAGACCTTCAGTAGGTATCTGAGAGGGCTTACTGAATGAGTGATCACAGAGAAGATTGTGGGGCCTACCCTCAGTCCTAGACTTCCTGGGATTTTGGAAGTGGGTGACAATATGGAGAAGGTAGCAGTTCTTGGCAACCTAAGTCTCGCCTCAGTCTTTGAGGAAGCACTGGGAGACTTCCAGCCACGGGACTAAAACCACGAGGATTGGTTATGTTTATTCACTACTGGGTGAGAGAATTGAGCTTTGGGAGCCTAACTCTTGGCCTGAGTGGCCTTCATTCTTCTGTTTGTAGGCATTGTGGACTAGCCAAGCCTGGCCACACATTTTCTCCCTGGTTGTAGCAAACATTGATGTTTATTTAGGGTTTTGGATCTCCCATCAAGTTTTCTCTGTCTTTTCTTGTGCCAGGGACATGAACTCAGTGAGGGTCTGACAGAAATAGTATCTATATACCCCCCACCCCCAACACACCATGTGAGAAGGAGTTTTCATGTCCCTGTGTTCTGACAGGTAACAGTCCAGGCTCAGTGGAGTCTCTCATCTGGGATTCAAACCCAGATTGCTGTCAGGCATGGTGGTTCACACCTCTAATCCCAGCACTCAGGAGACCATGGCAGGAAGATTGCCACAAGTTTCAGTCCATCCTGGCCTATATAATGAGGTCCAGTCCCAGATAGGGTTTCTCTGTGTAGCTTTGGAACCTATCCTGGCACTCGCTTTGGAGACCAGGTGGGCCTTGAACTCACAGAGATCCGCCTGCCTCTGCCTCCCGAGTGCTGGGATTAAAGGCGTGCACCACCAACGCCCGGCTCAGTCTCAAAAAACTCAACAACAACAAAATATCCCAGATTTCCAATTAAGTCCTAGAGAGAGCTTTCCTCCCCTACAACTGTCCCTTCACATGGTCTCAGCATTCTGGTCTGGGGTCCTACTGAGGATGCACACTTTGGGCAGAATTGATAAAGGGGCAAATTCAATACTGGTGACACTTCCTTAACTCCCCTATGAAATGTGGTGTCATGTCACCTATGTTCTGTCAGCTGTGTACCTGGATAGACTGTCTCTCTCCTACTCCTCTGTTGCTTCCTGGTTCAAGCCATTTCAACCAGGACTGCAATTGCTTCCTTACAGATCTTCCCGCTTCTGACCTCAGTGTCAGCTGCTGGTGTCTTTCAGAACCACATTCTAGACCGTTAAAGGCCAGCTTCTGCCCCTTCTCTTGCTGTGTGGAGGTACCTTACCACATTGCTCTCTCTCTCAGGTCCATGGAGCTTTGCTTTGACTGAAATGCTTTCTTTTGCTTCTTCCATGGCTAGCTCTTCCTCAGCCTCTACTCAGTTCACCGGCCTCCTTAAAGAGATATTCACAGACATGACAGAGAAACCCTGTCTCGAAAAACCAGACAGACAGACAGACAGACAGACAGACAGACAGACAGACAGACAGACAGACAGACAGACAGACAGACAGACAGACAGACAGACAGACAGACAGACAGACAGACAGACAGACAGACAGACAGACAGACAGACAGACAGACAGACAGACAGACAGACAGACAGACAGACAGACAGACAGACAGACATTCACAGACTACCCGATCCAAGACCAACCACAGCCTTTAGCCACATTCCTGTGACCAGATGCTTTGCTTTCTCGAATATGTCTTATCTGATTGCCTACCCTATTCTGGTAAGGGAGGGAGTTCTCAGAGCAGGACTCCAGGCTATTTGTTTCTGTATCCCCAGCACCCAGATCAGTGCTTGGCACCTGGTAAGCACTCAGTAAATATTTGATGAGTGCCTGCTGTGTGCCAAGGCATTGTGCTGAGGCTTTGAGGGATTTAGAGTGGACAGGTAATAGATGCAGAACCAGAATGAGCTGCAGGGGAACCAGGGGGAACTGAACAGAGGGCCAAAAGGAACAGAAAGGCAGCCCCAGGTGCAGACACTGTCTGTGTGGGTAACCCTGTTTAGTGTGCCTCGGTACAGTGTTTCCAAGGGAAGAGAAAGGGATAACACAAATGAATGGGGAATGAGTTGAGAATGGCAGTAAACTGGCCAGGCAAGGAACTAGGAACTGCTAAGAAGCAAGGCAGCTTGAGACAACTGATGACTGCCACTTGTAGCAGCATGCCTCATGTCAGTCCCATGAAGGGAACATCACAGATGGTACCTTTGGGGTCTGCTGGAACCGCTTTATTCAGTAACAGGAGACTGGCACACATAGGTAGCTCTTAAGAGAGTGGACTGGCTCTGGACCATGGTGCTTTGTCCCTGGCAAATGGAACCTTAGGAGCTGGAAATGGGGTTGTGGGGGGCTGTGGGAGGAGCCAGGTCACAAGGAGCCCTGGGCTCTGACTTGACCCTTGGCCTCTCTTCAGTTGGCGGCAGTCAGAATCTACGCTTCTACTGGAAGGAGTTTGTGAATGAGGTAGACGTGCTGGTGTTCATGCTGGACTCGTCTGATCGGCCACGGTTGCCCAGGGCTCGGCAGGAGCTACAGAAACTGCTGGACAGGGACCCTGATCTGCCTGTTGTTATAGTGGCCAACAAGCAGGTGAGAATATGGGAGGTAGGCTGAAGCCAGTAGGAATTCTCACAAATACCTGGATAAAGTGAGGGGGTACACAGAAGGACGAGAGCTTGAGCTCCATGTCCAGAGAGTGCCTGAAATACTGTCTGTACCCCTTCCACCTAACTCCAGTCTCTTGTCTCCCTCTTTTGTAACCAGGAGAGATGCAAGAAATAGTTACTAAGTACTTACTATATGCCAGGCAGTTTTGAATGCTTTGGTTTTCTGGATTTTTGAGACAGGATCTCGAGCACTTAGGTGCACTGTGCAGCCCAGACTGGCCCAGAATTCATAATTCTGTCCCTGCTTGAGTGCTGGAATTGTAGCTGTGCACCACCAAACCAGTAGCTGGGGCGGTGGTGGGGGGAGCTTGGGGGAGACATACAGGGTGGTGGAGCTGGAATGCCTGCTTCTAGAACCATCCTGCCCCTGCACTAAGCTGAGAACTGACAAGAAGTGGGGTACATTAAGTAATAATGAATGAGTGCACAGTATTGGGGCACAGTGTGAACACCTGATAGCCATCACCCCACAGTCTGGCTACTCTGCATGAAAGGCCTGCTGTCTCTAAATGCCTCAAGTTACTAGAGATCTTCCTCAGAGTTTGTGTTGTTGAGCTGGACTAGAACTCAGTGGTAAGTTGCTTGTTTAGTATGCATGAGGCCCTAGGTTCTGAACTCCCAACCCCCACAACTCCCCTGCAAAGAAAGATTTGTCCTTGACATTATACCTTTGCTGGGTCCAGAGGGCTGTCTTGGGTCAGAGACAGACTTTATGTGCTATCCTCAGCTACAAGAGGACTGCCACAGTCGAGAGTGCCTTGGGGCATGTACCAACGTTTCTTACTTGTCCCTTTGACCTCAGATTTGCCCTGTCTCTCAGGGAACACTCGATAATTGTTTATAAATATGGCCACCATTTGTCCTGGTCTAAATTTTTATTTTTTCTTTTATTTATTTGAGACAGCCTTGGCTGTCCAGGGGCTCAATATGTAGACCAGGTTGGTCTCAAACCTATGGAGGTCCACCTGCCTCTGTCTCCCAAGTGTTGGGATTAAAGACATGTTCCACCAAGCCCAGCCCTAGTGCCACTATTAATGGTGTCTTAGAATCTTAGAAATACTTTGTTTTCTTTAAAAAGAATTATAGCATTTTAGTCATTTTCTGTTTCTATGAAGAGACACCATGGTCAAGGTGACTTACGAGTATATTGGTGGAAGAGCAGAAGAGCTGTTTCTTACCACACTGGTGAATGAGTCCATGAACAGAGGGTGCCACAAAGGAGAGTCAGGATGAAGGACGACACTCAGTTTATTCAGTAAGATCTAGAAGTACCTCCTGGGATATAGGGTTCTGCCTTTCCCAGAGTACTAGCTGAACATTGATGTCCTTCGTGGATGACAAGGGTGGGCTCACACTGCTAGCACTGTCTGATGGCCACGCTTGTGTTTCTGCAGGACCTGAGTGGAGCCATGAGTATGGTGGAGTTGCAGCGGGAGCTGGGCTTGCTTGCTAGTTACAACCAGAGGGAGATTTTCCTCTTGGCGGCCAGCATTGCCCCTGCAGGATCTACCTTCGAGGAGCCTGGTACTGTGCACATATGGAAACTGCTCTTGGAGCTTCTCTCCTAAGCTGGAGCCACCTGCTTGCTGCCCAGCCTTGGAGACCACAGTTCTGCTTCCTCCTGCATCTTCCTTGCCAGCCTAGGCCTTGGGCAGGAGCACCGTAGCAACACCTCCTTTGTCCCCTCAGGAGCAAGGCCAAAATCATGCAGAAGGCTTCCTGATGAGGTGGACTTTGGGGCAGGAGGTTTGTAAGGCAGAGAAGAGACAGTGACTGCTTCACCTAAGGCCATAGTGTAGCTAGCTCCAGCTCCCCTTCCTACAGTGTGATGCTCAGCGTGCTTAGTGCTCCTTCCCCAGGTCCTGTTGGCTGACCAACCAGTGTGGGTATCACAGGTACTCCTGGGCCTCCCATTTCACTGTTTACTCTTGGCTATATCCTACATTTTCCATGTGGGAAGGTTCTGGGTGGAGCACAGTAAATCCTTGCTCCCAGGCCCTCATCATCCTCTAGCCCCTGCTTGGTCTGTGGCCTTGTGTTTCTGCCTTTCTGGCCCCAGGGCCATCATTTTTAAAGGGAGGTGATTTCCTAGTTTTTTCTAAATGCCAGTCCTGGCAATGCTAAATGAGGACCAACCTGAAGACTTAGCAAAGAATACTCTGAACACCTCCCTGCTGTTAAGGCCTGGTCTGCCAGCCTTTATTGACCACAAAGTGCAGTTCACCACACAGGGTGAAGGAGGGTTTTCCCCGGGTCTGGAGACAACCTGCTGCTTTTGGACTAACTGTGCCAATGCCCATGTTTACATAAGTCTAGAGAAAGAAGGAACCTGAGTACCGGAACAAGACTGGAGTTGGGGGGAGGGGCATCTTATTTATTTATTTATCAAAGGCATAGGCCAAAGTTTAAGGTTCTGTTTATAGGTGCTGTAATCAAAACCCTAGATTGTCATAGAAAACTTGAAGCTTTGAGTATTGTCTGGAATCATGATGGTAACCTACAGGTATCAATGGAGACAGAACTACAGTTGTGTCCCGTGTCTCCCCCCTCCCCCCATTCCCCAGCCTTGAGACCATAACTGGAAACAAGTACTTCAAGGGAACCTAGTACTTTAATTCTTCTATATGGCCCAGGACATAGGACAGGACTAGTAGAAGAGCCATCAATGTGGCTTTGGGTACATCATCAAGCCTCTGGGATCATTTATTCGCCAGCAAAACAGAGAATGAAATTCTGTGTTCTCTACAATGAACATTCCATGACTGGCGATCAATGCAAAGACAGTCTTTGATCTGCCAGGGCTGCTGGATGAGAGAACACCTACAAACTAGTTTTCTTTAAGGCTTTTACACCCCCCCCTTTTTTTTTTTTGACAAGCTGTTACTCTAGCCCAGGCTGGCCTTGAATTCATGGTAGTCGTCCGTCCTCAACCTCCCATGTGCTGGGATTGCAGGAAGCATTGAGCCATCAGCCTGGCTTTCAGTTTGCATTTTGAGAAAACACTGGTTGCCAATTGCCCCACATACAACCTGGGAAGTGGAAAGCTTCCAGCTGAAGTGAGCCTGGTCATCAGAAGAGGACCCACTGTGTGCTTGGACTCCTGCCATGAGAGGGGAGTCACCACAGACCAATCAGTCTCACCAGAAGTGATTTTCCTGCCTTTGTATTAAATAGTTAAGGAATGACTTGGATTTTAGAGTATTTGAAATTTTGTTGGCAACTTCTCATCTTGTAATTAGGAAGTTGAGAAACTTTGTATCATTGTTCTAAGGATTCCACCTTATTCTCCAGTGCTTAAAGCTTACCTTGGAACCAGACTTGTTGAGAGGAACCCTTTTTTCTGACTTTAAGCCCTTTGTCTAATGAGTATCATCATGTACAATTGTCATATTCCCCCAGGTGGAGGGATGAATTTCAGAATAAAGAGTTTCACTGTGTCTGTTGAAGCAGCTTTACCTGAGGTCTGTGATCCCAGCTTCTTGGGAGAAGGCACAGTTGAGGTCTGCCTGGTTTACAGAGTGAGTTTGAGGACAGCCTGGACAATTAGTTAAGACTTTGACTCAAAGTAAAAAGCCAGACAGGCCTGTGAGATGGCTCAGTAGGCAACTTGCCATAAAAGCCTGATCTGAGTTTGGTAGAGTGCTTGCCTAGCATGTACTAGGTTCAAACCCCCAGCACTAGAAAAACAGCAACAAGCCAAATGACCACTTTCTGGGCATTCTGCACTTAATAGTTTGGGAGGAACTGCCAACATTACAAGCCAGCTGTGAACTGTGTATGGCATCCACTTGTCATGGGTCCAGATCTCAGACCAGCTTCAGGCTGACCAGACACTTTCACCTCCAAGCCTCAAAGGGCAGAGTCCTTTCTAGTTGCTATGGAGAGGGAATCTCTAATCTTGCCCCACTGCTATCCCTGGAAGATGAACATCAAGGGACCAGAGGTGGAGTTCCTCAGTGTGTGGAAAGGGTCTTTCTGTCCTCCCCATGCACCCAGACACACAGGACCACCAAGGACAACTGTAAACTGGGCTGTCAGCAGGATTCTGAGGCACACAATGCCAAAATGAGTATATTGAGTGAATCTCCCCCCTGAGGGAGGAGTGCCTTGTGTTTATAGTTCCTGTCAGAGTAGCTCTGGAAAGTGAGTTTCCAGACAGCAAGTTCCAGTCCCTTATCCTTTGACCTTTGAGACAGACAGTGACCTAATGCTTTCTAAAGGGAAAGGGAGCTACCGGATGGTACCAGAGTGAGGGGGACCCAAACCAGCTCAGAAGTCTGCCAAATGGGCACAGTGGAGCACGCCTTTAATGGCAATACTGGGAGTGCAGAGGCAGATGGATCCCTGTGAATTAGAGGACAGCCTGGTCTACAAGAGTTTCAAGACAGCCAAAGCTAAAACACACCTCTCCCTCCACACTCAGGGCCAGGAGGCCACACACAGAACATTCTAGGAGCATGTACCACACACAGCACCTTGGGCCAGACTCTTAGAGTCCCAGGCAGAGTCCTTGTGGGAAGCTCAGTTTGGCAAGGGACATCAGGCAAAATTAAAGGCAACTGGAGTGAGAGCGCAGTTCACACAATGCTAGCAGTGGCTTTGTCTTCAGCGACTGCAAAACTAGGCAGCTCTGGCCATAACAGTTAAAAGGACACAGGAAGCTTACATGCTCTGGGAGCAAGGAACATAGCAGAGGTGGCTTCTGGAAGCTGGCACCCAGCCTACATAGAGTTAAGGAGACCTTCTAGCCAACATCACAAATCTGAATTTTGTAAAGGCCAGAAATGCAAAGCCAGATGGCATGAGCTCTTGTATACTTGAGACCCTAAGGACTATTCTAGGCACTAAATGAGATTCTCGGCCCTGATACTGTGGGAAGGATGAGCTGCTATCAGAACAGACTTCATGTCACACCCCAACCACACTATGGATACCTCTGACCTGTTTCCTTCTCTATAACAAAGATAAAAGTGCATTTTGGACGGGCGATGGTGCACGCCTTTAATCCCAGCACTTGGGAGGCAGAGGCAGGTAGATCTCTGTGAGTTCGAGACCAGCCTGGTCTCCAGAGCGAGTGCCAGGATAGGCTCCAAAGTTACACAGAGAAACCCTGTCTCGAAAAACCAAAAAAAAAACAAAAAAAAAAAAAAAAAAAAAAAAAAGTGCATCTTAGCGAGGTGGTAGTGGTGCCTTTAATTCCAGCATTCTGGAAGCAGAGACTGGCAATCTCAGTTCGAGGAAGGCCTTGTTTACAGAGCGGGTTCCAGGCTAGCCAGGACTACACAAAGAAACCCTGGGGGGCGGGGTTACATCTTACTGGTGGGGAGAGATGGTGCAGGACCTCTTCCAGAGGTCTTGAGTTCAATTCCCAGCAACCACATGGTGGCTCACAGACATACATAATGAGGTCTGGTGCCCTCTTCTGGCCTGCAGAGCACTCATACATAAAATATAAATAAGACGGACTGGAGAGATGGCTCAGAGGTTAAGAGCACTGGTTTCTCTTCCAGAGGTCCTGAGTTCAATTTCCAGCAACCACATGGTGGCTCACAACCATCTATAATGAGATCTGGTGCCCTCTTCTGGCCTATAAACAGACATGCAGGCAGAACACTCTATACATAATAAATAAAATATATATATATATATATATATATATATGACTTTTTTTTAAAAAAAAACTTACCAAATGACACAAGCAATATATAAAGACATGCTTTTCAAGTGTACTGAAGTTAAGACAGACTACAAGTGCTCCTGAGAGGAATTCTTGGCAATTTAAGAGGTTTTTACATGATTCATAGTTGGGGACAGTTAGGTCTTAAAATGCCTACCTCACCCCTTGCCCATGATCCTGTTGCAAAACAGTCATCACTTTCTCAGGCCAATGCATGCAGCAGGCCTTGCCCCAGAGAGTGGCCACTTCGTGGAGCAGAGTGGGTGACACACAGTGGGGCAGCACCTAGTGCTCTGCCACTCCCAGAAGGCAATTTAGGTTCCTGATGTTTTCTTTACGACATGGCCAACAAAGGCAATCAAAAGTGAGCAGATAGGACCTGGCTCCTTACTTTCCACAGGCAGCCCAGGCTTCTGTCAAGTTCCCGGAGGAAATCAAGGCTGAGAGCACTCAAGGAAGAAGGTGGCGCCTACAAATGCCCATGACTGCAGTACTTGTCAAGATTGGTGATCCATCCGCCCTAATAAAGTTAGTTTTCCCTGGGAAAGAGTTTAGCTGGGCATAGTAAACAGAAAACCCTTATACATACAAGTAGTGCCATATGCCTTTAATCCCAGTCAGGGCTACACAGAGAAACCCTGTCTCAAAACAACAACAACAACAATCCCATTTCACAGGTAAAATGCACTTTTATCATGTACAGATCACATTCAAATAAAGCATCACCTCTGGACACTGAACACCAAGCCCTGGCCTTTATGTAAACCCAAATAGAATAATAAGCTATGGCCTCTAAAGAGTTCCTTCTCCAGCTAGGTGTAGGGCGCACACCTTCCCCTTAACCCCAACTTGGAGCAAAACCCTGTGGGTTTGAGGCCATCCAGGTCTACAAAGCCAAGTTCCAGGACATCTACAGCTATTAGACCCTCCCCCTCAAAAAAAATTCCTTCTCATGGAGAGAGAGAGAGAGAGAGGAGAGAGAGAGAGAGAGAGAGAGAGAGAGAGAGAGAGAGAGTGTGTATGTAAAACCTGATCCTATAGGACTTTGTCAGCATCGTCTGCAACAATATACTCCTTGCCCCAAAACCTGGCTTTGGTTTCTTTAGTCCAGTAGACCTAAGTGTGGGGGTGCCCACCACTCAGTCAACCTCCATCTTCTTATTCTGCAAAGAATCCATGAAGGTTTGCCACTCTGATGGGTAAAAGCGCTTATAGACATTGATCTTATTCCGAATCTGCTTTGGTGTATCTTGATAGTAATTCTTCTCATCCCGGGCCATAGCCTATATTAAGAAAGAAAGACATGAGGAGGGACAAACCTAAATCCTAGCTTTGCCTAAATTGAGCGTGCCACTTCCTACCCCGGAGATCCAGATTTCTCACCTCAAAAGCAGAGAGCTGGAGAGCTGCTTCTGCGACTAAGAACACTGGCTGCTCTTAGAGAGGACCCAGCATGGCTCACAACCATCTGTAACTTCGGTCCTGAGGGGTCCGATGCCCTCTTCTGACCTCCATAGACATCAGACACACATGTGGTGCACATATATACATACATACATGCAGGCAGAACACACATGAAATAATAAAGGAAAAATAAGAAGAAGGGAGGCAGAGGCAAGAGGATCTCTGTGAGTTTGAGGCCAGCCTGGTCTACAGAGCAAGGGCCAGACAACAAGGGCTACACAGAGAAACCCTGTCTTCAAAACAAAAACCCCAAAACAAAAAACAAGCCAGAGACATTAAGCCCTTCTTGCATTGAAGGGCTTGGAAAAGAGTACCCACCCTCCCTGGGGATGGTCCAGGCAGGCCTGAGAGAGCAACAGAACTTCAAGGAGCTGGGGCCAGTCAGGGATTTCTGCCCATCACAGTCAGTTATTTCCATCAAGTGCAGAGGTCCAGCACAACCAGATCTTTTATTTACGTGTTTTTTTTTTTTTTTTTAAAGAAAAAAAACAGGGTCTCTCTAATATTCCTGGCTGTTGCGGCATATGTCTTTAATCCAAGCACTCGGGAGGCAGAGGCAGACAGATCTCTGAATCCAAGGCCAGCCTGGTCTACAGATCGAGTTCCAGGATAGCTAGGACTACACAGAGAAAAAAAAACCAAAACAACAACAACAACAAAAAAAACAACCAAACAAAAAGTGTGTGCCAGTAGGCTAGGCAACCAGATCTTTTTAAAAAGCCAGGGAAATTCCTAACACTGTGCCTTTGTGCAGGTGGCTGGAATTCAACTGGATGAATTTGCAAAATGAAGCAACAATTAACATTAAAAAAAACAAAACAAAAAACCCACCACAGGGAAATGGCTCGGCGAGCAAAAGCGCTTGCTACACTGTACAGTGTCTTGGTTATGGTTTCTATGGCTGTTAACAAAACATCATGGCCCAAAAGCAACTTGGGGAGGAAGGATTTACTTGACTTATCTATCCTGACTCATGGTCCTTTGAGGCAGGAACTGATTGATGCAGAGGACACAGGAGTGCTGCTTGCTCAGCCTGCTTGCTTGTAGAATCCAGGGCCACAGTGGGCTGGGCCCTCCCCCATCCCAATCACTAACAAAATTCGAGCTGGGCATGGTGGCACATTGCTTTAATCCTAGCAGTTGGGAAGCAGTGGCAGGCAGATCTCTGTGAGTACAAGGCCAGCCTGTTCTGTTCCAGGACAGCTACAGCTACACAGAAAAACCCTGTCTAAAACAAACAAACAAAAAACAATAGACAGAGACAGAGAGAGAGAGAATGCCCTATAGACTTGCCTACAGGCTAATTATTGAGGCTCCCTCTCCAATGACCCTAGCTTTTGTCAAGTTGACATAAACCTAGCCAGCACATTATGTAAGCCTGATGTTCTGAGTTCACTCCCCAGAATATAAAAAGTCAAATGCAGTGGTGTGCTTTTTTTTTTTTTTTAAAAAAAGACTTATTTATTATGTATACAATATTCTGTCTGCATGTATCCTTGCACACCAGAAGAGGGCACAGGATCTCATTACAGATGGTTGTGAGCCACCATGTGGTTGCTGGGAATTGAACTCAGGACATCTGGAAGAGCAGTCGGTGCTCTTAACCTCTGAGCCGTCTCTCCAGCCCAGTGGTGTGCATCTTTAATCCCAGTACTTTCTTAGTATGATGGGAGGCTGACCGAAAAGAATCCACTACAAGGCTATACTGGACTTCGCAGCACAGCAGCAAAAAATGGGAAACCCTGCCTCGATAAGGTAGATGCCAATCATTACCCCTGAAAACTGTCTCTCTTATTCTCTGTCTCCCTCACACGCACACTGTCTATTTCTGTATCTGTCTCTCTCACGCACACACATCCCTACAACACACACACACACACACACACACACACACACACACACACTTCAAGATGCTTTCCTAGTCGCCTCTTTCATTCTCTTCAGTGGAAGATCAGGCTGAAACAGTGCAGTGTATTTTCCCAATAAGCCCAGGTGGTTCCTCCCGTAGGCCTCACCTTATAGTCCTCCCCATGGTTTGCCACCATGTAATGAACATATTCAATGAGGTCCCGAGACAAGGTATTTCCTTTCTTCTCTGGGAGGCTGGCTTCTGCCTCCAGGTCTGGAGTAAAAGAAGCCAGAAATGGAGTAAGACATGGCCTTCTGCATTATTTGTGCTGCCCAAACACCCCTCCATCCAATCCCATGACACAAGAATTATTATACTAACAGCACATCCCCATATTCAAAGCCAGAACTCTCTTTTTCAAGCCCTAGAATCCCAAAGTCTGCCTCCCACCACTACTTATCCCTCTGTGTGGCAACTCCCTGAAAAGCAATTCTCAAATTATGATTTAAAATGAAATATACTAAGCTTACCTGTCTTAACCACCACTACCAGCCCCAGGGCAGAAAGATGCAAAATTGGGCTCCCTTCGAGCTCTACTCCCACCAGAATCTTGGTGTATTTTTTTTTTTTTTTTTTTTTTTTTTTTTTGGTTTTTCGAGACAGGTTTTCTCTGTGTAGCTTTGGAGCCTATCCTGGCACTCGCTCCGGAGACCAGGCTGGCCTCGAACTCACAGAGATCCGCCTGCCTCTGCCTCCCGAGTGCTGGGATTAAACCACCAATGCCCGGCCTCTTCTTGGTGCAATATTTGAAATGGGAAGGTTTGCATTGCTAAACATTAGAGCTGCAAGGCTAGGCCCAGATCTCTCACTGCTCCATATGAAGGGAAAATCGGGACCATGGAGCCAATCACGTAGGAGGCTAAAGCAAAACAATCTCAAGTTCATTGCCAGCCTTGGCTATATAACAAGACTCCGTTCAAGCAAACAAAATCCACAAATAAAAGCCAAACACACTGCAGACAGTAGCAAAGCATGCTTTCCCAGCAAGAACAAGACCCTGAATTCAATCCCAGCACAGTGAGGAGTAAAGCTAGATAAATGAGGCAAAATATAGCAATGATGTAGTCAAATCTGATCCAAATGGGAGGCACTAAAATTTCTTACAGTCAAAATCGTCTTTAACCTGACTGTCAAAAGCAGCCTCAGCTTTGCAAAGAACCAAAGTTCAGGAAAGCTGGTATATAGCAGTATGAATATATTTAAAATGACTGAACTGTACATTTTATTTGTTTTTTTGTTTTTTTAAGACAGGGTTTCCTGTGTAGCCCTGGCTGTCCTGGAACTCACTCTGTAAAACAGGCTGGCTTCAAACTCAGAGACCCGCCTGCCTCTGCCTCCCAAGTGCAGGGATTAAAAGTGTGGACCACCACTGCCTGGTCAAGAAGGTAAATTTTATGTAGTTTTAGCTACAATTTAAAACTTAAAAAAAAAATTTCTTACAGGACATGGCAGCATATGCCTTTAATTCCAGAACTTAGAAAACGGAGGCAGGTGGATCTCTGTGAGTTCAAGGCCAGCCAGGGCAGCAAAGACCCTGTATAAAGAAAAAAAAAAAAAATTATATAACTACATTAAGTATATGTATCATTGTATATACAATCAGCTGTAGTAATTCTTTTTCCCCCCACACTGAACTGTCTAAATTTTTTAATGGACTATTTTTTAAAGATTTATTTATTTTATATACAGTGTTCTATCTGCATGTTTGCCTGCAGGCCAGAAGAGGCCACCAGATCTCATTACAGAAGGTTATGAACCACCATGTAGTTGTTGGGAATTGAACTCAGGACCTATGGAAGAGCAGTCAGTGCTCTTAACCTCTAATCCATCTCTCCAGCCCCTAAACTGTGTAAAATTCTTATGTGAATCACAAAGATAAACTAAAGACAGGATTCAAATAATTTCATATCAAACAGCTGTCTATTTGCCAGGAATGGGTGGTTCACACCTTTCTTTAATCCTAGCACTTGAGAGGCAGAGGCAGGTGGATCTCTATGAGCTTGAGGCCAGCCTGGTCTACAGAGTAAGTTCCAGGACAGGCTCCAAAGCTATACAAAAACAACAACAGCAAAACAACAAAAAAAGAAAAACAACAACAACAAAAAAACAAATAAAACAAAACAAAAAAAACCACCTGAATAGAGGCATAGCATTAACATTCATGAGGCCCTGGGTTCAATTCCCAACTCGAAAATAAAAAATAACAATAAACCCACAGTAGGCTAGGGAAAAGATAGGTAAGAATTTGAGAATATTCTTTCTTTCCTGAAGGGTCAAACACAGGGAATAGATTTGTCACTGGAAAGATTCATGACAGCAGAATCCCTACAGTTTCTCTTTAAGTTCAAGAGAAACTGGGAACAAACTTGAGACTTAATGCTTTCTTCATCCTTGCAGACACCTGATTTTATCTTCTGTGAATGTCTTACCTTAGTTCATACATTTAAATCTCATCAATTTTAGCTGGAAAATGTCGCAGCTATGACACAGTACTACTTCTGAGCCCTGGATCAGATTGCTTCTCCTCTCTGAATCTTGGTTTCTCCGGCTGTAGTGAAGAGACTTAGTGCCTTTCCCACCTTGTCAGGGCAGGCTGATGCCCTAGAACACAGCCCATACTCACCATTCAGCACATAGGGCTTCCGCACAAGGTCCTTGGGTCTCTCCTCCATGTCTACCTCCATGGCCTTTACCTGTGAAGAGAAAAGCCTATGAGACCAACAGACAAGCACCTTTGATCAGAGAGATCTGACAGGATTAATGAAGGCCACTGCCCACCACAACACAACTATACTCAATATAGGAAAATCCATGCCTGAGCTCAGGCAGAACTAGGTAACAAGAACTAACCCCTGAAGCCCAACAACTTTGCCAAGAGAAACACAAGCAGAGTTCAATCCCTAGAACCCTCAGTGGGAAGAGAACCAACCCCTGAAACATGTCCTCTCCACCCAAGGCAAGCAGCACAGTATGCTCATGCCCACACTCACAGATATTACACCCATATTTATTTTTAATTAATTAATTTATTTTGTACATCAGGCTGGTCTTGAACTCACAGAGATCCGTCTGCCTCTGCCTCCCAAGTGTTGGGATTTAAGGCGTGCACCACCAATGCCCGGCTAATTTTGGTTTTTCAAGACAGGGTTTCTCTGTATTGCTTTGGAGCCTGTCCTGGAACTTGTTCTGTAGACTAGGCTGACTTCAAACTCAGAGATCCACCTGCCTCTGCCTCCCAAGTGCTGGGCCTAAAGTCGAGAGCGCCATCACCGCCCGGCCTGTATTTTTCTTTAAACAAGCAATTCATCTTTCTGTGACTACCTATGCCTTTCCTACTCTGCTGTGTGGTAACACATTGAAACACTTATATGAAAAGTGCCTTCTAAGTTATAAGGGGGCGGGGCTGGAGAGATGGCTCAGAAGTTAAGAGCACCAACTTGCTCTTCCTGAGGTCCTGAGTTCAATTCCCAGCAACCACATGGTGGCTCACAACCATCTGTAATGAGATATGGTGCCCTCTTCTGGTGTGCAGATATGTATGAAAGCAGAATGTTGTATACATAATACATAAATAAAATCTTAAAAAAAAAAGGTTATAAGGGGGCAATGTCAGATACCTTCTCCATGTCAGTAACCTAACAGTGCACGGCCTTACATAAAAAACAAACAAAAATAAAACACGTTGCTGGGCAGTGGTGTCCGCCTTTAATCCCAAGATTCGGGAGTCAGAGGCAGGTGGATCTCTGTGAGTTCAAGGCCAGCCTGGTGTACAGAGCGAGTTCCAGGACAGCCAGAACTGTTACACAGAGAAACCCTGTCTCGAAAAAACAAAAACACCTTCATTCCTGAAGGAATGAGAGAAACTTGCCTAAAGTCAATGGACCAAACTCACTCAGCAAGCCCATTTATTAGGTTAACTAACCTGTCACATCTTACACTTGCTGGGATTTTAGTAGAGATCAAAACACGAGATTATATATAAAGAAAACAAGATTATGTTAAGGGATTAGGAGGCACATTCAATGTACAGATGTGTAATTAAATAATATAACCATCATGTACTTAGAATTACTATGAATTAAAATAAAGCAGGAAAGAGCATGACGTGGAGTGCTATTTTTGAAAGGTTTAAAGGGTGGTCCAGATAGATTTGTTGGTAAGTAACTAGATGTCTCAGGCTAAGGATAACCGAAGGCAGTATAGGAAACCAAGATCTCAAGCTCTGGACAGTTAAGGACAGAAAAAAAGACGCATCCCACTGAACTCCCAAACAGGCCCGCGAAGAAATGTTGAGTGGAGGAGACATGACACCACAAACCAAGCCCGTATGTGTGCTGAGGAGGGAGTGAGAGTCGTTCGGGGCTTGAACCAGAATAAGTGCAAGCAAAATGACTTTGTGTGCAGTACGGGCAGGCTGAAGGGGCGGGGGTGGGGGGATGAGGTTCTGAAGGAAGGTGGTAGAGAAGGAAAACAGGAATGGCCAGGGTGCGGATGAGCGAGGTGGCTGACCACTACCTTCCTCTTACGGAGGGGAACCGCCTTGTTGGGGTCCACGGCCAACCCCATCTCCGCCAGGTTCTGCCGCACGGATCTGGTGTGGTCCCAGGCATGTCGGATGTGGGAGCTGGCGGCAAAGAAAGAGAGACGGAGACTCTGTCACCTCGCCGTCGATCCCAGCCGAGGGAGGCCCCCTGCCTCCTAACCGGCCCCTCACCACTCGATCCGCGGAGCAGCCTTCCGACGAGCATTGCGGTTCAGACGCTTTCGGTTGACGTTGTAACCGAACTTCTGCCTCCGAGTCTTCCCCTTGGCCTTGGGCATCGCGCAGACTGTCGCACCAGCAGCTCAAACTCGGAACCACACGCTCAGAGCCGCGTGTTAGCAGGCTCGGAGCCCCAGTGCACGCAGGGATTCTCGGGAAATGTAGTCCTCTAGGGAGCGCCTCCGCATTGACTTAATACAACTCCCAGAATGCAACTGGCGATGACGCTTGCGTACTACCCTCAGCGGCGATTTCCCCGCCCTCGTAGTGACCTCATCAACAGAAGGCGGGGTTCGGCGACCGGATTTGTGTCCTACCTGTTTCTGTGCGGCGGGAATGGCGGCTCCCAGTCCCGTGAGTTCAGAGGCGCCTTTCAATCCGTCCCAGACCCCAGTCACCGAGGGCTTCAGCCCCACGGTCCACAGCAACCCAGAGACCTTCAAGGACAAATTTATTCGCAAGACCCGTGAGAACCCAATGGTCCCCATAGGTAAGTATGTGTTTAGGAACCGGAGACCCAGGCGACCGTGGTTCCGTGAGGGAATGAAATAGGGCAGGACCGGGCACGCCTTGGGGAGGGGAAAGAGAGTGGACCGGAGTAGTGAGGAAAAGGACGGGGCGGGGCGGGCTACCTGATGCCGTCCGCGGCGAATGGTGGCCCTGGGAAAGCGGGGGTGGGCCACAACCTGTGCCCGCTGTGCTGTGCTCTCCCCAGGCTGTCTGGGAACGGCGGCTGCCCTCTCCTATGGCCTTTACTGCTTCCACCGCGGCCAGAGCCACCGATCCCAGATAATGATGCGCACCCGGATCGCAGCCCAGGGTTTCACGATCGCTGCCCTCTTGCTGGGGTTAGCGGTATCTGCTATGAAGTCTCGAGCTTGAGTGTATGGCCCGGCCTTGAAAGCTCCCTGGACATCCTTATAAAACCCAGGAGTAACAAAGAGCCCTGTCAGACTTACTCCCTTCTTTTCTGACAGTACCCTGTGGTCAATGGGTGAGGAAGTGGCCGAATTCTGTGATTGATTTCCATCCCTCTACCCGAAATCCCAGGTTGACTTTAACTGGGTTGCACACTAAAAATTTGTGATGCGTCCCCTTAACTACTTCGCTTAATAAAACTGTAATACCCTTGTAATGTGATGAATTCTTTCTTACTGTCATTACCATGGTCAAAAACCATGATTTCTGGTCTATGTTTTTGGGAAGGAGCAGGCTGTTGGTAGGACTGGCCTATAGGAAAATCAGCGGCCCGATAGTGCCTATAGCCTCAACTATTTTGAAGGTTGGGGGAGAAGATTCTTGCCTGTGAGTAAGGTCAAAAGTTCAAGGTCAGCTAGTAGAGCAACTTAGTGAAGCCCTATATCAAAATTTAAAATGACCTGGGGATACAGCATGTGTTCCTTGTAAGGCCCTAGGTTCAATCTCCAGTCATGAGCCCAGTGCCACCCACCCAAACTTTACTGGTAACAGTCATTTGGCCACTAGTTAAAAGTAGAGATCCCCAAATGTTCATCTACGGGATTCTAGTTCAGTGAGCCAAAATTGATTCTGTTTGGTGGGAGGGGGTATCTTTGCCAGCAATTTTAAAGTTTCTGTAGCCTTTAGATGAGGGCTGTCAGCCGGGCGTTGGTGGCGCACACCTTTAATCCCAGCACTCGGAAGGCAGAGGCAGGCGGATCTCTGTGAGTTCGAGGCCAGCCTGGTCTCCAGAGCGAGTGCCAGGATAGGCTCCAAAGCTACACAGAGAAACCCTGTCTCGGAAAAAAATAAAAAATAAAAAAAAAACTAAATAAAATAGATGAGGGCTGTCATAGTCCTGTTGGATTCAGGATGTCCAGCACCCACACTGCCATCATTTTTGTCTCCTCCTTACTCCAGTTCTCCCTCCATGGTCCTCAGGCTCTGCTGATCTATACCACCCAGCATTTGACACAGAATTCTCAACAGGCATTTGTGGTCTGTGGTCAGCACTGTGTTGACTTGAGGAACTGAGCTCCTCCCATGCATGACTCTGACCCTCTCAATGCTTGCTTCAAACTGGGAAAAGGGAAGAAAGTGAAGATACATTTCTTGTGGCTGACGTGTCTTAGATCTCTTGAGTGGAAGGTCCATGACTAGAGCCAGGTGTTTGCTCCTCCAATATGATCTTAGCTGTGAGGCAGATGGCCAGTGTCAGACACTGCATTGTGAAGCACACAAGATGTAAGGACAGGCCATAAAGAGCTGAAGATGATGCCACTTCTAAAGGTCTTGCCCACTGTTTGTGTTAGTGTTAAGATAGCCACCCCTTAAAATACATTTGAGAGTTGGGCTCCAACTCTCAATTCTTTAGGTATTATTTTGGCAATAGGGACTTGATAACCATTAGTAGTTTTTAAAAAGTCTTTAAGGTGGGCTTTAACCCAGTAAGACTAGTATCCATATTTTTTTTAAAAAATTGGACACACACAAGACATATGGAAGGAAGATGAAGACAGCCATGTGCTGATGTAGGCAGAACTAGGGGGGCATATCTGCAAGCCAAGGAATGCCTGAGCTACTGGAAGCTAGAAAAAGGCACAGATCTTGCCTTAGCATCTACAGAAGGTGTGGCTTAGGTGGGTCCCTGATTTGGGAATTTACCCTCCAGAACTGTGAGACAACCAATTTCTGATGCTCTAAAACACCCAATTTTTGGTACTTTGTTATGGCAATCTTAGAGAACTAATACTGTTGGCAGTTACTCAGATCTTTCTAAACACATGTAGATCATAATGACTTAGACGTCCTGTTTTACAGCCTCTGCTGAAGGGAAAGAAGGTGTGGTCACTGTTTATCCCAAGTCCACAGGAGAGGAGGCATATCTGCATCTTAGAGGGTCCCTGTCACCCCCAAGAAAGAAGGTCTGGCAGATGATGTCCTCAGTCTTAGAAACCACCAAAGAGGCCACTAGCCTCACCTGCTTCCTACACTGCCAGCTGCTTCTGTCCTGGGAGCCTTGGTTTTCTTAGCAGAGACCCTATCTTCAGGTTTGTTAAAGAATCACAAAGAGCAAGGTTGCAGAAGTGTTCTTTGAGAGCCTGTCTTTCCTCTTACTGGAGGAGACAGCGGACACAGACAGTCTGGGGTTCCTGCTTCCAGCTGGGAGCGCCTGAGTTCCCAAGAGCACATCCTTCCCTCTTTTTTTTTTTTTTTTTTTTTTTTTTTTTTTTTTTTTGCGACAGGGTTTCTCTGTGGCTTTGAAGGCTGTCCTAGAACTAGCTCTTGTAGAGCAGGCTGGTCTCCAACTCACAGAGATTCACCTGCCTCTGCCTCCCTCGTGTTGGGATTAAAGGCCACCACTACCTGGCGACATCCTTCCCTCTTAAGGGCAGGAAGCTGGGAAAGTTCCAAGCACAAAATGAAGCCCTGACACCAGTTGCAGCTTCCAGAGAAATGAGGATAATAATAAATAAGTGTAAAAAGAGTTAACACACCCTTTAAGCCAAGAAAAAATACATCAGGAGGGACAGTCACAATTGAGTGGACTGAGAGGAGTCGTGAGGGCTGGGACATGGGGCCAGGAGGGAGTGGGGGTTGAAAGGGGTTAGGGTCCCACTTCCCAGCTCCCAGAGATGCAGAGGAACAGAACAGGCTGTGTGTGGCAGCTGCCGGAGGAAGGTCCACCCTGGCTGGAGCAGCCACTCCTCTGCCTCAGCAAGACCCATGCTTTGTGGCCATTCTTAGGGCAGGCACCTAGCGGGACAGCGGTGTCTGCTTCAGTGACATGAGCACCGAGCGCAGGCGGGACACGTCTTTGCACTGCTTGCTGCTCTTGGGGTTGAAGTCACACAGCTGGGCTACCTTCTCCCACTCTGTGCCTGGGGTCTCCTCCTTGGATTCCTTCACAAAAGCCTCTTCAGATGCCCTGAAGGTGGAGAAAGGACAAAGGTTTTCATGGTTGTCTTTTCCTGGGTCACTAGAGCTCTGCTCCCATCAGTCTGTGGTGTGCAGCCTACTCTGGGACATTAGCCAGTCTTCCCAGCCCTGTGCCCTATGACTTCAGCCACCAGGAACAGTCTTGACATAAGAAACGTAGGCCTAAGTGTGGAAGTCTAAGTCATCTAGACTCAGGGCTTTAGAACTTACTGTCACCTCTTCCTGAGAGGGTTTTTCATCGGCTCCTGGCCTGATGCTTTTTGTTAAGCCTGTGGTTCACCATGTAGGCCAAACTGCTATTGAACGCTTGAGCTCAAGAGAGCCTCTTGCCTCAGCCTCTCCAGTCCTGAGATTACAGGTGTGTACCACTGCACCTGGCTAGCTTGTTGCTTGTCATTTCATTCCCAGTCTGGGTATTCTATGTTCAGTCTGTCCCCTCCTACCTTTCTTTTTGTGTTTGTTTGTTTGTTTAAATGGGGTCTCACATAGGCCAGGCCAGGTGCATAGCCAAGGGTGACCTTGAACTCCTGATCTTGCTGAGATGGAGGTGTGTAATCTCACCTGTATCTTTCTATCTTTTTTCCTTTCTCAATACTAGGGATTGAATCTGAGCCTCAGACATTCTGGGTAGTTAGTCTACCACTGGGCTATATGTCTGTACCTCAACTATTTTCAACACCTCCAAGACCTGACCAAGAGAGGACACTGACTAACCACCTAACCAACTGTGGAATGGACGTAGAATCTCTACAAGTGTATCTGACTCCAGAAACCTGAGCTCAAAACAGTCCTGTTTGGATGGAGCCACAGCTTGGGGAAGGCTCTATTGGAGGCGTTGCTTCAGTTGCAGTCATGTTAGGATAAAAGCTGGGGTGGTCTCTGCTTCAGGGGCTACTTGTTTTGATGACACCGGATGAGTTTCTGTCTGTCTGTCTGTCTGTGTGACAGGCAAGAGCTCTAGCACACTTCAGAATTGTGTTGACAGTTTTGAAAGTCACTGATTTTGAGTGCGCAGCCATAAATGGGACATGTATAACACACACCAGGGTTCAGTGACCATGGAGGAAAGGGGGCAGAAAGATTGTAGCCAGAGGTCAGGAGGAATGGAGAGAAACAGTGTCTCTGGACACGACAGGACCCTAGCAGTCAGGAATTCACAGTAGGTAGCTGTGGTTACCTGTACAAGATCAAACCAGTCAGCATTCTAGTATGGAGTGGGAGAGGTTCACGAGCCCCTCCCTGTAGCAAAGGAGCTGTATAAACAGCCCATGGCTTCTGGGGGAGGGAAAGTCAGTTTTAAGGGTGTGGCTCCTGGTCAGTCCATACTGAGGAGTTTAGGAACAGCACAAATTGGACTCAGTTATTTGGAAGGGGAAAAGGATACAAAGCTTTGGGGAAGTTGGGAGGTAGGCCTGGGTGATGCAGAGAGCACTCCAGGTGGTCCCACTGGGCAGTGCTACTAGAAGAGCTGGCCCAGGCTCCATGACATGGCCGTCAGTCATGATCTTGCCTTTCTGCTGTGTGCTCAGATAACCTGTGAGGAGAGAAGCATGGCTTCCACTCTTCCAATCTGTTCTCTGTGCTGAGCAGCCAGTGCGGCAACAGGTCTGTGTAGTGTGGGACTGGACAGTGGGTGTGAGGAAGGCTTTACCCTTATGCTCTGTAGGGCTGCACAGCAAGTGTAATGAAGGCTTCATCCTTGGAGCTGCCTGTCAGGGTCAAGAGGTTCCCCTCTGTCTTTACTGCTGACGTGTGTCATGCCTGGCAGCATGGCATCACCATGGAGCTTGTTAGGAACAGGGTGAGCCTCACCTCAGTCCTGAGGAACCAGAGTCTGCCTTGCTCAAGCTCCCTTGGAAATGCATGGGCAAGTGAAAGGCTGAGAAGTCTCGATTCCAATTCTGACTCCTTCAGAGCCGTATTGGGTTCTCTGGACCAGTTCTTTGGGTCCAATAGGAGCACCGAACCCAGGAGTATTCTACAGCATCCACACCTGCCAGGTTCCCTGTCCCCTATGGGAGCCTCCATGGCTCCCCACTGCCTGGAGGACCAAATCTAAGTCTCTAAGCCTAGCATAATAGAATCCAGCTGGGACCTCCCAGCTTCAGTTTCTATCCGTCCCCGCAAACCTGGCCTCTCAGTCCTCTCCAGGCCTCTGCCCTGGCTGCTTCTCTCATCTAGAGTGTCCTTCTCAACTCTTACTACCCATAAATTCATTTTTAAATCTTAAGGTGCAGCCTAGGGTCATAAGTCTGAAGCATGCACTGGGTCCCCAGCAGAGAGGGTGGCTCCCAGAGCTCGTGGTGTAATGTATTCTAACCCATGAGCAACTTGCAGGGGAGAGCTATGTGTCCCTTCTCTGTTTGACCAGTGACTGGCACAGGATTAGTACCAGCAGGTCAGGGCCAGCTGGGAGAAGGAAGGGCCGCACGAGGGAAGGCTGCCACCAGCTGTGCCCTCTGCTGTGTGAGCCGGGCCGGTGCAGAGGGCAGCAGGGGCTGCAGTGGTATGTGGCCCAGAAGGCCCAGCTCCAGTAGGGACAGTAAGGAAATGTGTGAAATAAGAAAACAATACTCAGAGATTGCTGTCTTCCTTGTGGCTTCCCCAATACTACTGTCCAGAACGCACTACCTGTCACCTGGGGCTGGCGTAAGTGGAAACCTGCTTGCCATTCCAAACCTAGAGCAGCACAGGTCCAGCCAGACTCCAAACCCAGATACACAGGAGAAAGGCTGCTGCGGAGTGGGCAAGGGCTCATGGTCAAGTCAGTGTACTTAGGGGTGAGGCAGGGGTAGACATATAAAGACATCTCTCATTGTTTATGCCTTCAGCACTCTATGCTTGGTGTGTGTCCAGTGAAAGTCCACTTCTCACCTACCCGTCCCCAAGAAGAATCTCAGAGAGGAGCTAGACCTCTGTGTCCTTTTTCCCCTCCCCTGTGAGGCTGGGGAGTGCATTCCCTCCTCCACCCCACTCAGAAAGTCTAATGGGCAAAGCTGCCTCCAGTTCGCTGGAGGGACAGAGATGGAAAGATGGAAGGCAACGGGTTCCCCTCCTACTCTGGCCATTGCTCTGGGCCCAGCCTCATTCATTTATATATACCACACAGACAAGAGACTGAAAACCGCTGGGCTCCCCTCCACAGCTGCCCCTGCAGAGAGCAAAGGAGACACGTACACATAGCCAATGGTATCAGCATCTGGCTGCTGGTAGAAGGCTTTGTCAGCAATCCTTGAGGGAAAAGTTAGGAGAAGGAGTTAGGTGGGGGAAGACAGACAGCAAGACAGGCAGGCACAGGGTTAAAGAGAAAGAGAAACAGTGTTAGTACCTCCATAGGAGACATGTTAGGAAGTACAGTTTAAAAGCTAACAATTGCCCATAAGAGAGTGGGGAGTCCTGCACCTTTGATGGCCTCCTACTGCTCAAGGAGGCCTCTTCATGGGGCCCTTCCAATGTCACTCCCATATGCCGCCAACTTCCAAACCCTTCCCTCTGCATTTAGACTCCCTACAGACCAGCACTGCATGCTCCCAGGTCTGGAATGTGCTCCTAATATCAGTCCTTTTTTCCTGATGAACTGTAGTCATCACAAGTCTCTAGGCCAGGGTTCTCAACCTTCTAATGCTGTGACCCTGTAACACAGTTCCTCATGTGTGGTGACTCTCAACCACAACATATAATGATTTTGTTGCTACTTCATAACGGTAATTTTGCTACTGTTATGAATCATAATGTGAGTATCAAGATATCTGATATGTGATCCCTAGGGTTGTGACCCACAGACTGAGAACCACTCTGTTCTAAACCCTGGTTCTTCTCTGGCATGCTAATTGCTTCTTTGCTTCTATGGTCTTCACACACAGGGCCCCAGTGGGTCCAAGTTTGGCTGTACCTGTGTGATGCTCTCCTCTGAACTCTTAGAGGACACAAAAAGGTACTGGTCTGACACCCAGTGTCCAGGTGGCATGCAGGGTGTTGATTGTCTTTCCCTCTCGGGAAGATACTGTATCCTGAAGGGTACAGCATCCAAAGCAAAAGAACACCCATTTCCACAAATGTGTTCCCTGTTTTGCACCCATGGCCCTTCCGGGTTTGTGCTTGGCAGGGTCAGCTGCTCCTACTGCAGTCTCTGTAGTTTAGATGGGACTGGCCCCCATGTGCAGCCCAATGAATGAGACTTCCACCCTGGCTGGGTCCCCTTGGAGCATCCCTCCTCCTGTCTATGGTCAGGGGCCTGGCACGGGCACATAGCCCAAGCCAACTCTGGCAGGAGCTTCTGACACTTGGCTATTTTCACTGAGCTGGACACCACAGTAGAGCAGAAGCCTGAAGCAGCTGTTCCCAAACAGGGGCATATGTCCAATAGTAAAGCCAGAACAGAAGGAAGCAGAGCTGAGTGGCAGGGAGAGTGAATGCTGAGCTGATTGACTTGGCTTATGCCCCAGGGCCACTGTTCTGGCTTTTCATGTATGCAGGCCACTAATGCCCTTTCATCCGTTAGTCACACTGGGTGGAAGGACTGCCATTTCTTTTCTTTTCTTTTCTTTTCTTTTGAAGAATTTATTTAGTTATTATGTATACAACATTCTGTTTCCATGTATATCTGCACACCAGAAGAGGGCACCAGATCTCATTACGCATGGCTGTGAGCCACCATGTAGTTGCTGGGATTTGAACTCAGGACCTCTGGAAGAGCAGTCAGTGCTCTTAACCTCTGAGCCATCTCTCCAGCCCCCCAGTACTGTCATTTTTATAAGAAATTCTCAGGCTGGCTCTGCACTCCCTGCCAGGCCTGTGCCCACAGCATCCTGCAGAGTCTAGTCACACTCCAGTCCACACACCCATTCTGCTTCCTGTCAGTCATGGAGAAGATAAGGGCTTAGAGTGGCAAGCATGAGGGACCCTAGGCTCCCAGCAGCTCTCATCCCCATGTCCTTACTACATCATTCAGCTCTCCCTCCATTGCCTCACTGGCTCCCTTTATGTCCTCACAGCTCCTTCAGGTTTCCTTAGCTCCCCGATTGTTCTCATGGCTCTCCCCATGTTCTCACAGCCACTCCTCATGTTCTCGTGGCTCCCCTCAGTCTCCTTCGTTCCCCTCAGGTTCCTGGGTTCACTCACCTATTGTTGATCTTGTTCTTCTCAACTTGTTCGCTTTGGCGCTGGTTCCACTCCTCCAGGTCCTTTTTGGCTTTCTCCCGCCATTCCTGTTCAGTCACCTTAGAGGCAGCATCTGTGAGCCCAACAGGAGAATGAGTACAACAGCTTTTCGGTGGAGAACAGCCACCCTGGAAGCTCCATCCCTGCCCTCCCACCCCTGCCAGCAGCCCAAGAACCCACCCTCAGCCAAGTGGGCCTGCACAGACTCCAAGGCTGCCTCACTCTGCCCCACCCACCATGTCCCAGAAGCCATGCCTGCAGGAATTGGCTCTCCCCAGAATGCACTCACCCAGCTCCTGCAGCCTTTTTTTCTGTTCCTCTCTCCACTTCCGGATGCTCTCAGGCTCCTGAGTCAGCCTGTCAGCCTGGGCAATTGCTGCATAGCCATCAGCAGGCCCATTAGCCTCCTAAAACATAAGCACAGTGTTCCCAACCCATCATGTCTGCCCTGCTGTTTGTGCTGTTCTTACTGCAACCAAAATAGCCCTTAAATCAGGCGACCCCACCCACTCTGCCACCCAGTGACTATACCTTTATACTCTGTGTTCCCTCTGCCAGCAACACTGCTCCCATGTGGCCTCAGGCAGGTCACTCAACCTCCCAGTGCCTGGTCATTGTCTCAAACCCAGCCAACTCATTTATACTCCCTTTTGCTCATCATAAACAAGATAAATCATCCCATAGATTGATACAAGAATGGAATGAGTTTTAAAACTAAATTTGGGGCTGAAGAGATGGCTCCATGGTTAAGAGTACTTGCTTTTCTTGCAGAGGACCCTAGTTCAGTTCCTAGCACCAATATGGTGGTTCACAACTGTCTCTAACTCCAGTTCCAGGGAACCAGATGCCTTCTTCTGGCCCCTAAAGGATTAGCATGCTGTGCATGCTGATGGTATACCTACATACATATAAGCAAAACACTTATACACAGAAATCTGTTTTGGTTTTGGTTTTTGGTTTTGGTTTGGTTTGGTTTGGTTTTTCGAGACAGGGTTTCCCTGTGGCTTTGGAGCCTGTCCTGGAACTAGGTCTTGTAGACCAGGCTGGTCTCGAACTCACAGAGATCCGCCTGCCTCTGCTTCCCGAGTGCTGGGATTAAAGGTGTGTGTCACCACTGCCCAGCTTAAAATAAATCTTTTTTAAAGCTGTAGATGTCATCTGTTTTGCACACATTGAGCCCTTGTGCTACCATCATTGAAATCTGTTAGAGTTGTGTTCCATGATAAAACTTAGTCTACCATGACCTCATTATGAATGTGTTCATTTTTTCATCAGAGTGCTACCTTTGTGACAGCAGGGACCTTGTATGTTGTGTTCCATTGTTTTGTGTGCAGAGCTCACCACAGTGCCTGGCACATGGGAGACAACAGACATTTTCTGAGTGAACATGGAGCCCAGAGACAGGCAGAACAACCATGACTAAAACTTGGCCATGGCAGAGGGGGAGGAAACAGCTAGAGAGGTGACTCGACAGTTAAGTGTTGTGAGATATTTGCACACTGTGTGAAGATGCACTGGTTGTGATTGGTGTAATAGAAAGCTGAGCAGCCAATAGCTATACAGGAGGTAGAGGCAGGACTTCCAGGGAGAGAGAGGAAGAGGAGCAGGTATTGAGGCGTGCAGAAGCCAGGAGACAGAGAGGAGACCAGAGGTGCAAGGTGGAAGAGAGGTTACACCACGTGAGAGATTAGGATAAATGGGTTCATTTAAGTTGTAAGAGCTAGTTAGGAACAAACTTAAGCTATAGACCAAGCTTTCATAATTAATAAGAAGTCTCTGTGTCATTATTTGGGAGCTCACAGGCAGGGCAGAAAAAGACTCCTTACAGTTAAGAGCATGACTGCTTTTTCAGGGGACCCAGGTTTGGCTCCCAGCACCCACATGTCAGCTCACAGCTATCACTCCAGCTCCAGAGGATCTGACACCCTCTTTTTGTCCCAGTAGGCTCCAGGCATAGACATACATGCAGGCTGTGGTGGTTTGAATAAGGACAGCCCCCATATTACCACATATTTAAATGCTTGGTCTCCAGTTGGTGGAACTATTTAGGAGGGATTAGAAACTGTGCCTTGCTGCCAGGCGTTGGTGGCACATGCCTTTAATCCCAGCACTCAGGAGGCAGAGGCAGGCGGATCTCTTGAGTTCGAGGCCAGCCTGGTCTCCAGAGAGAGTTCCAGGATAGGCTCCAAAGCTATACAGAGAAACCCTGTCTCGAAAAAAACAAAAAAAAGAAAGAAAGTGTGGCCTTGTTGGAGGAGCTGTGTCACTGGGGGCTTGCTTGGAGGTTTCAGAGCCCACCCCATTGCTAATCAGCTCTCTTCTGCCTTGGGTTAGTCGCTCTACTACTGCTCCAGCACCATGACTGCCTGCCTTCTGCCATGCTCATTGCCACGATGCTCATGGACTCCAATCCTCTGAAACTGTACACCCCAAATAAACTTCCTTTCCTCTCTAAGTTGCCTTGGCTGTGATATTACAGCAATAGAAAAGTAACAAGACACAGGCAAAATACCCATACACATAGAATAATAAAACCTTGCTGCAGCAGGCTTGGACTCTAAAGCCACACAATTGTGTTGCTGAGAGCTGGAAGATGTGTGTCTGGCTGGGTGAGTCCCTGAACATATCCAGCCTGTTTTCCTCGCTGAACATGGGACTCAGACCCGATGCTGGGATTTGATGCACCATTGTTTGTAAAGAGGCAGGATTGGCCTAGAACTTGATGTAACTGAAGATAACCTTGAACGTCTGAGTGCAGGCATCAGGTGTACACCATCACACTGGGTCTACTCAGTGTTGTGGACAGAACGCAGAGCTCTGTGGAGACTGAGCAAGCACTCTTCCTGCTGAGTTACATTCTCAACCTTTGCAAGACAGAGCCCCTGCTACGGAGAGATGGCTCAGTGGGAGGTATTGGGATCACTCTATTTATTTATGTGTATGTGCCAGAGATGACCTGAGTGTGGCAGTCAGAGGACAGCTTGAAGGAGTTGGTCCTCTTCCCCCACTGTATGAGTCTGGGACTGAACTCGGGTCCTCAGGCTTGGCAACAAGTGCCCTTGCTGCTTTGCAGTCTCACCAGCCAATACTGTCATTTTTCATACCCATTATACAGAAGAGAACACCAAGGCCAAGAGAGGTGGATAGATGTAGTTGGGGTTCAGATCTGGTGACAGAGTTGCTAGAGCTTGGGACACAAGTGTTGGGGGTTGTGAACTTGAGTCAGTGTGGACGGGGCATCTCTAGTCTGAGAGACCCTTTCTTCCTGGAAAATGAGAGAGTGGGTCCTGCCACCCTGCTTGACTGGCGTTCTGCCCTCTACTTTTCCTGTGGGCACTGATCCCACAGGGCTCCGACTGTAATGTGTCCCTGCCTCCTCCCTCCACCGTAGGCATTGCCACTGTGGGATCCGCCTCCTCCCAGCACCCCCCCGTCTGAGTCTTTTCTACCTCTACTGTCTACCCAAAGCTCCCAGTGGGCCGGGCAGGACCTACTTACATTACAGCTCCCTACATTCCCCCAGTTGGTGTCTTGCTGTCCTCCAAGCATTGTCCCAACTGTCAGTATTACTACTGATCGTTGTCTTTCCCCACAGGACAGTGTCTGGGAGTTCTCTGCCCCACATTATCCTGAGCATACAATAGGTACTCAGCGAGCCATGGCTAAATGAGCCAAGACCCCAGAGCTAGCAGTTCCTCGAAGCCAAGGGCTCCATGGCAGGTGTCTGAGCAGTGAGGGCAGGACCAGTCCTGGGCCAAGTGCCCAGATGCAAACATGTCCAGCCCTTGCTCCTGGGCCTCACTGATGCCTCTTTCCCACACAGGACCACACTTAACAGATGCTGTTGTTGAGCCCTGAACCCTGTGTGTCCTTGATTCTTTCCTTATCTGCCCACGTTCAGTCTCATGGGAAGCTCCGCTGGTACTCTCTCATCAGATTACATTTTCTTCCTTTCAGCCACCGATGACTTTGTTCTGGATTCAATCCCCAGATACAAAATAAAATGACCCATACTAACTAAATATGGGTCCTGTCTATTTAACTAACTAAAATAATGTACTGTCAAGTTTTAAAATGTCCCAAAAGCCAGGCACAGTGGTGCATGCCTTTAATTCCAGCACTCAGGAGGCAGAGGAAGGTGGATCTCTGAGTCCAAGGCCAGCTTGGTCTACAGAGTGAGTTCCAGGACAGCCAGGGCTACACAGAGAAAGCCTGTCTCAAAAAACCAAAGCACACCAGTGTATGCATGCGCAAGTGCGCACACACACACACACACACACACACACACACACACACACACCAATAACAACAACAACAATACAAACCTAAAGTCTTTCCACTATAATTTGAATAAAATTCCAAAGTCTCAGCTCTCTCCTGCTCCCCGATTCCTGTTTTGGTCAGTGCTCTATTGACACACGGTCCTTGAACAACTCATGTGGTCCTCCCCACCCCTAAGTGTCCTAGTCTGGAGCTCTCTTCCCCTTGGACAGGGCTCCATCCTTACTGCTCTTCCTCATTCCAGGGCTCCCACTCACCACAACCACCATTGTTCATTGTGTTTTCTTTTTCTTTTTCTTTTTTCTTTCTGTTTTGTTTTGTTTTTCCAGGCAGGGTTTCTCTGTGTAGCTTTGGAGCCTGTCCTGGAACTCACTCTGTAGACCAGGCTGGCCTCGAACTCACAGAGATCCACCTGCCTCTGCCTCCCGAGTGCTGGGATTAAAGGTGTGTGCCACCAATGCCTGGTTTGTTTTGTTTTCCTACTGTTAGAATAAACTCAGGTCCACGGTCCTACATCCCAGACCTGCCCCCTCTCATTTTATTTTTAAATTGCATTTATTTATTTAGTTTATGTATATATGCACACGCCATGGTGTAAATCTGGAGGTCAGTGGACCACTGCAGGGATCCATTCTCTCCTTTGCCATGTAGGTCGTCAGGAATGAGGACAAGTTCCCATATTGCTACTTCTTCCCTCCCTCCCCTCTTCCCCCTTCTTTCTATTTTGAGACAGGGTCATGTTAGGTTACCCAGTTTGGCCGTGAGTTTTTGATTCCCCTGCCTCAGTCTGCAGGTAGCTGAGACGACAGCCTTGGCCACCGCCTTGGGCTGCAGCACTTTAAGCAGTGTGCCCTCCCATTTCTGTCATTACTTCCGTCACCTTTAGAAACCACCCAAAGTTAGGGTTCCAGAGCACTGATGACTCAACAGATGACTTTGACCTTTACATTTCCACTTAGAAGGTTTTATTGTCCTTATTTTATAGGTAAGGGGACTCTAGTTCCAAAGTGCCACAGTTGGCAAGCAAGGGACAGCGCCAGGTTCAACTGAACAACTGGGTGTGAGCAACTGACAGGAGCACTTCTGCTTCTGCTCCATGACTTCTTTTTTTTTTGTTTGTTTTTCGAGACAGGGTTTCTCTGTGTAGCTTTGGAGCCTATCCTGGCACTTGCTCTGTAGACCAGGCTGGCCTCAAACTCACAGAGATCCACCTGCCTCTGCCTCCCGAGTGCTGGGATTAAAGGCGTGCGCCACCAATGCCCGGCCTGTTCCATGACTTCTATACTACGATTTGTCTCCTTTATTGGTCGTATGCCCACCGTCACCCCTGTGCAGGGCTGAATCCAGGGCCTATGCATGCCAGACAAACACTCCACCCAGCCACACACCCAGGCCCCAGCCTAGATGCTGCTAAGTGACCTTCTCAATATTAGAGACTTTGTCCCTTCGTGGACACACACTTACACACACACACACACACCACTGCCTCCAGGCTACTCCTCAGCTCATTTAGTGGACATGTTGGTAATTTATAAGGAACTGTCCTGGTTACAGAGTACTTTTCCCAACAACCCTGTGGGGACAGCAGGCCAGGGCCTTGAATCCCCATTTTACAAAGGAGAAATCGGGCTCACAAAGGTTAAGTTACTAACCCAAGGTCCCCCAGCTGAGAAAAGCCAGAAAATGAATTGTAGGCTTCCACTGCTGTCTGTGCTCTAGGTATGAAGCCCAGGCAGCCCTTGAAGCAGTTCTACTTGGCACCTGGGGCACACGAGGCTCAGCGCTCTACAGTACCTCCCATACCTGGAGGCTGATGTGGCCTGTTCCAGAGCCTAAGCTGGGACCGCCTCCTACACCACCTGAGAGGCCACTGATGTGCTGTGCTTGGGAGTTATGTGTCACCCTTTAAGCAATCAATCAGCCCTGTGTCTGTGGCCTCGCGGGGCTTCCCTGACGCATCCCTCCATGTAGCAGAATCCACAGGCACTCTGGGTGATCCCTGAGCCAAATGGCTTTCCTTCTGCTCTTTTACACATGCTGTTCCTCAGCTAGGTGCAGCAAGGCCTCCCTAGGCATCCTTGAAAGCCACTTCCTGGTCACTGCCCTGTTGGGCTCCCAGACTTCAGCTTCCAAGTTCTTGAAGCTCTGTCACTATAACAGCTATCAGATCTCCTTGAGCAAAACAGGGATAATAAACCAGCTACATAATGAGGTATGGGGAGGATTAAGTGGGTTAATCCCTTATTAAATCCCTGCAACGGCTTTCAGTTGGTTTTGGAAACAAAAACACTTAAACTGTTAGTTTTTTTTTTGGGGCCCTCAAAATGTGCCCCATGCTAGGCTTGAACTTATGACCTCCTGTGTCATCATTACCCTCAAATCCAAGCTCCTCTTCCCAGGTTTCTGTACTCCATTAGAAATGAACTCTGGGGACAAACACTCCATTGGCTTTGCCTTCTCAACCACCACCGCAGCACAGGCCTGGCCCACAAAGAATGTGAGCTGAGAAATGAATAAACAAATGGCTGATTATAAAGACAGGGGAGGACCTAGGAGAGGCGCTGGACATTGTATCAGAGGCCTGGCTTACGGGGCCTATTCTGCTATGCACACTGGGTGATGACTGTTGAGAAAAATCTCTTCCCTGGGCAAGTTTGATTTCAAACCTGTGAAATGAGAGTATCCCACTCAAGGAACCTAGTGAGGCTCCTATAAAGGAACAGCCACGGAATCAGCCCATGGCCCACTCACAGAAAGAAAGTATGACCACTGAGGCTCACTGTCACCATGTGGCACTGCAGGGCTGCTGGCAGGCAGGTCCTGAGAAATACTTCACTGGCTTCTCCCCGGTTGCTTTGGATTCATTTTCCTGTCGTTGCCAGTAAACATCAGAGGCCACACTGAGTCTCGTCCATATCCAATAAAGCCTCCTAGGTGGGACATGGGGTCACTTCCAGAAGGTGTAGCAGCTCAGGGCTATAGTGGCCAGACTAGTGCCTGAAGAAGTACTCTGAACTCCTCCAAAGCCCCGTTGATGAAAGGGCTGGTTATGGCCAGCAGCAGAAAGCAAGAGGCCAGACAGGCCAGCTGATCTCCACCCAGCCTCCTCCCCTCCACCCCCTTCTGAGGGACTTCTTGCTGGGCAAGCGCATGCTAAAACTCCAGGGATGGCCAGGGTGATGAGGCATATCGCCTTAGGATTGAGCAGCTTGGGCTAAGCTGGGCTGAGCTGTTGATTCCTGTAAGTAGCTCACAGGAGTGGAGAGGAGGAGAGAACTGATGCTGCAGGCTGGAGAACAGGAGTCCTGCAAGGCCTTCTGTCCCTGTCCCTGTCCCCCCACGGGGCCAGAGGAGCTGGAATAGGTTCCTCAGACTGTGCAGGGGTGAGGTTTTTAGCTGGTCACCCACATAGTCCACCAGGAAAGATTGCGGCACAAAGGCTCTTGGATGTGCTGGGTTTGCACAGGCCAAGGCTTCCGCCCCCGAGAGTGCATGCCAAATACTTCTGTGCTCCTCCTAAAGATAGTCAGTCCTCTGGGCCCAGCAGCAGAGTGCAGCAGTGTCCACAGTGTACGCCATGCAGGTAGGAAGGAGCTCTGCTCTAACCTAAGGGAGTCTTCTCTCCCATGTCCCCCCCTTGCCCAGGGGGATTCTAGGGTAGCATGGATGCGATGTGACTCACAAAGCCACGCCCCTCCTGAGAGCAGAGAATAAGAATCATTGCCGAGACTGTGCTCTTCAGGTCCCCAAGTGGAAAGTGACATTGGGGTGGGTGGTGGGAGGGTCAGTGAGGAAAACTCCAGCAATGGCTGGTGTCACTCTGTGACTTCAGATAAGTCTCTTCAGCATCTGTGAATCTCAAGCTTCTGTCAACTGAAGTGAAAGCTGCTCAGGATGTTCTAGATACTCCTGTGGTCCCAAGTGCTGCCCCTGCATGTCCACTTTAGAACAGAGGCCCTTTGAGCCATTAAAGTCCTCGTGAGTGTTCTTGGATCCCAGAACTGGCCTGGCAAACGTTCTAACAGTACAAGGATAACACTTGCCCCTTATCTCTGCCATACCCAACTGGGCATGGAGCTGAGGCGTCCCAGGGATACACTTTCCTAACTCCCTCATGTTGAGTCATTTTCCAGAAATGGGGCAAGGCCAGTTTTCCTGTGTCAGGACCAGCCCATCCCACTTACATAAGAAAGTATTGTTTATTCTCCCAGGATCCAAGAGGCCAACTCCTCCACAGGGTGGGGCTCAGGAGATCAGGAAGCTGCAGGCCCCAACATTGGTGTCTTACCAAAGCTCACAGTGGAGGCTAGGTCCTGCTTAGACATCGGGGCTCTACACAGCTATGTGGGGTTCTGGGGGTGCTTTAGCATCTGCACTCTCTCGGTCTGTGTGTTTTGTGGTGCTGAGGATTTAACTTGGAGCTTCTCCACTGAGCTCCATCCCCCTTCTTTAACTACAACACCCTTGACCCTCATACACCCGCTACTAGTCCCTGGGGTGGAAACAGGAAGCCAGGGCCTCTCACTCTCAGGGATACCATCGGTAACAATTGGAATGCCTTTTCCAAATATTTCATGCAATCACCTAAAAAAATGAAAGTGATAAGCCGTGATGGCACACCATTCATTCATAAGTTGCTTTAATAAGAGCATGTATGCCTATAAGGACAGGAAGCTCTCACAGCCCTTTGTAACAAGAGCTTATGTCCAGTCTATTTAGGCCCCTGATTCTGGACACTTAGGCTATTTCTGGTTGGTCTGTGTTAGAAGTCATCCTGAAGAGACTCTGGGTATCCTTTTCCAATTATCTACTTAGGAGAAATTCCAAATTTAATCTCACAATCAAAGAGCCTACCCAGTTAAAGTACTCACGGTGTGGAGATGGCCAATCAGGCCAGCCTCCCACCAGAAGTACCTTTCTGGACAGAACTCAAATTTCCTTCATGCCATGCCACTCCTTCCTGAAGCTAGATACCCCTGAGGATAGCCCTAGCAACTCATCAGTCCCCGTCTCCAATGGTTCCCTTTCCAACATGACAAGAAAACAGTCAACGCAGCAAACAGTGAGCCCTAAAAGAGCCCAGTGGAAACAGAAGGTACTCCTGAGCCTGAGGCAGTCAGTCTCACCTCTGCTTACCTGAAACACATCTCCGTTGACTGTAGTCCCCATGTCCTCAGAGCCAGCTGGAAAAAGAAGGAGACAGCATCATTCACGATCCAGCTGACAGGCACAGGATGGCCCTCCGGTGGCCTCTGGAGCCAGCCTGTGCATACATCCGTGGGTATATGGACACCTCCCCCACAGATGTAATAGATATAGAAACAACTGAGGCCCAGGCCCTGATTGTTCCCTGTGTACCCACTGGCATACTTAATATTTACCACAGCCCTATGAGAGAACTTAGTGACCCACTTTACAGATTCTCAAGTAGGGGCCCAGAAAGGCTACTAGGCTCAAGATCACCTAGCCAGTGCATTGGTCCTCACCTGCCTGAAGTTAACTGTGGAGCTGGGACCTGGTAGGTAGACATGGGTACTGCAGGCTTAGGGAGAGGCCACCAGGGATGAGGAAGAGAGGGGTCTGTGTCCCTGCATGTCCTGGTGGAACCTTGAGCAACTGCTCTGCCTGGGAGAGCAGGACTCACAGCTCCCCCTGGGCAATCCTTGGCCTATTTTCCTTTCTGCGCCCCTCCCAGGCTTTCATTTTGTCTTCACAAGGACTCCTCCCAATCCCCTTGTCCAACATACAGCTAGTCACAAATCACCTGTAGCTTTTGCTGCAACAGTGACCCTCAAGGTTGCCTTCCCCTCACTCCTATGCCAACCCAACCTGTGCCCTCACCATCTCATAGCGACACACCTGCTTTGGTTGGTCTGGCAAACACCTGGAAGAGCACCATGGCTGTCTTCTTCAAAGTCATGCGTATGCATGGGACCTGGGCCTTTGTACAAGTTGTCACTAGATGCTGAATAAACAAATGAATTTTTTGTTTTGTTGTTATGTTTTGGGTTTTTTTTTTTGTTTATTTTTGGTTTTGAGACAGGGTTTCTCCTTGTAGCTTTGGAGCCTCTCCTAGACCAGGTTGGCCTCAAACTCACAGAGATCCAGCTGCCTCTGCCTCTCAAGTACTGGGATTAAAGGCGTGCACTACCACTGCCCTGCTCTTTTTTGTGTTTTAATGGTGTGCAAGTCACCTCCTGCAGGGAGCTTTAGACAGCTTCATCTGCTTCCCCGAGGCACTAAAAAGGTCTCATCTCTGGGGTACTCCAGAGCACTACACAGGCCGTTCTGCTCTCATGCAATGACTTGGTATGCCTAGGGACATGTACTTCTTACCAGGCTCTGAAAGCATATTTTTCCCCAGCTAAGGGCTCCTGCATAGAATGGGTGAACAAAGACAGCTGGCCAAATTAGAGTTGAATTGCTCCTTGAGGCTCACTGTAATCCAAGGCCTCTCTGGAACTGCCATGCCTCCTTGCTGTGAGCCACAGCAGGCCTTATGCAGTCAGCACAGAAGGACAATTAGCCCTGTACAAGTTAAACAGGGCTGTAGAACAACAGTACTTCTGGCCTGAGCCTGAAAGGACTGAAGAGGGGTTACTCACCCTCATTTCAGTCGTCTGCCACTGATACAAATCATAACTCATTCACAGAGTCAAGCAGTGATTAGTCCTGATGAGCTATGACGGCGCTCACCTCACCCACTCAGATAGGGTTTCTACTGAACAGGAAGCCAGCTCTCTAAATGAGGGTGAGCCCAAACAGGTATGAGTGGTAGCACACTTGCCAGGGACCATTCCTGATTCTGTGGCAACACCTTTGGAGAAGTTGCACTACCTCTCCTGTCAAGGCCACATGAGTTTCCTGGTGCCCACCTCAGCCTCCAGAAAGATGGAGCATTGTCAGCCTCCTGGGGACTGTATACACACCCACTCACAGAATCACCAGTGTCTATTCCACAGTGTTCTCTGGCTCTTACACATTTATGATCCTGAGTCCACAACAGAGCCCACAGAATAAATACAGCAAGGCAAACACAAGCCCCAAGGATAAGCTGTTCCGTGTGGGACCTCCTCAGATGCCTGACCCATTTGGGAATCCAGAACATTCCTGTGAGCTTACTGAGGCCCAGCAGGGGCAACAGGATTACACAGAGCTGGCCCACAAGTCAGGCAGGCCAAGAGCCCGGAACACTGGGTGTGAAAATGTAGCCCATTTGGGCCCTACCCAAGGCTGATGAATGGAAACAAAGTGTCGATGCCCCAAGCCTGCTGCAGATCTGCTACCAGAGCAGGCTCAGTTGGGGCCAGACAGGATTTTCCCCAGGGCCTCCTGAGAGCCCGCATTAGTTAAGTCAGCATAGGAGCTGCTCATCAGAAGACCCCATCGTCTAAGGGGAGGTAACTCAGTTTGCACTGGTGGCTGCTGTTGGAGCCTGCTTCTTCCCAGCTCCCAGAAGGCCCAAGCCATTTCCCTCAGACCACCAAGGCTCCTGCCAATCCCTGCTGCTCAGAAAAGGATGGCTGCCTAGCGTTGCCTAGGCTTAAGAGCATCAGGTGCATTCTGTTTGTGCCTCACACCCGTTGAGCTCTGCTCCTGAAGTACCTCCTTGTTCCTCAAAATGCCACTCAGGAGGGCAGCTGGGCACCTGCAACATCACGTGTAGGAGTCTGGAAGACTCTCAGAGGGCTGTGTCCCTGGCAGCTTCCCAAAGGATTATCACTCACTGTCTCTTTCCCTGTCATCTCATAGCAAACCTAATCAGACAGTGCACTCCCGTCCAGCTCTAAGTCCCTGAAAAGACCACAGCTTGCTAAGTCCCAGACCCTAGGGCTATCCTCAGCCTGAACTCCATCTGTCTTTCTCATGAGTTTCTAAAGACCTCCTGATATGGGGACAAGTAAGTTCCATGGAGGAGCCTGGGCAGGTTCCCTGAGAAAATAAAGGGCCTGTGCTGAAGAACCGAGAGCCTGCACGGCTGGCTTAGTTAGGTCCCTGCTTCTCCATGCCACATTCTGTCATCTTCTAGGCAGAACTACTCAGTTTTTGGAATAACATAGTATGGAGCTAGGAGGACTGAAATCAAGTGCCCAGAGCCACAACTCATGGCTGTGTGAACTTAGGCAAGATACTCAAACTCCAGTTTCTTCTTCTTTTAATTATTATTATTTATACTGTTTACTCATATGTGCGTGTGTGTGTGTGTGTGTGTGTGTGTGTGTGTGTGTGTGTTTGTGTGTGTGTGTGTTTTCGGTGCACAAATGTGTGACAGTGAGTTCTCTCTTACATGTGGGTTCCAGGAACCAAACTCAGGTGTCATCAGACCAGTTCACCTTTACCCACTGAGCTGTGGTGATAACCCCTCAAACTCCAGTTTCTTGTGTGTCACAAAAGGGTTACTGCATTTCTCCTGGCAGAGTTGACTCAACCCCTCAGCCATAGATCCGGTTCCTTCATTCTGTGTCCCCAGTGGGGATGGCAGCACAGCAAAACGTTCAGTGAAAGAGATCTGACTGTTAAAGAGCCTTGTGAACATATACATGTAATATTCATTTGCAACAAGCCCACTAAACCTCTCTAGACTTACAACAAAACATAGGAAACAAGGTCTATTAGGCGTGTACCCAGGATTTAACAAATTTAACAAATTGTTCCTTGAGGCAGAAATATAAATGATAAACATAACATTGCAGGAAACAGGTCCTGCACCCTTATGTCTGAAACCATCCACAAAGGTCCTGGACCACCTTCGTAAATCCACCAAACACGGTTACAAACAGGAAGGGTAGGACTCATAGCCCTTTGTGCCCCTGTCCAGACTTACATACAGCCCGACACACGGAAGACTGTGTGGTCAGGATACGAAGGACTCAGAATCGGACAGAATGGGTTTAATACTTGACCGCTACTTCCTAGCTGTTTGAATAGCGTACCTTTTGAGGCTTCCTGTGGCCAGTTCTGAAATGGATTCAGGAGCGTGTGTGTGAAATTACTAAATGTAATTAACATGTCTCCTCCAGCGCTGCAGGGCAGCAGGTGGTCCTGGAGTGCCCCCTGCCTCCCAGCAGAAGGAAGGCTGGGCCCTGGTCAGGAGGACTGCGTCCGTCCGTCCGTCCACACCTGTACCACTTCGCTAGGACACTGGACAGAGAATGACTCTCAGAGCCGAGCAGGGGGAGGACTGCAGAGCCACACGGTGGAGGCGCTGGCCTGGGGATAAAATGTCACGACGGGATTCCTGTCCCCAGAGTCAGCGGATCCAGCCTCAGCCCGGACTCCGGCCGCTTTCCCGGCTCCCTTTCCCGGCTCCCCCCTGCTGTGCCAGGCCCCACGGACACACACAGCCCCCGGGAGCCTGTGGCCAGCCCAGACAGCCGGGCCCGG